AGTTTTATTATCTAATATTATCTAATATTAATCACTGATTTCACTTGTTTGGATTCCTGCAGAATGAAAAGCCTTACACCTTACAATCCAACTGCTGCTTTCATTTGTTCCAGTTCTCCATCATTCCACCCATAAACCAACACAGTTGGTTCTGTTTGTGGTCACTCGTGATTCCTGTAACTCGCTTGCACTAAATTACAGTTGCCATTGCAATTTCCAGATGTAGTTCATAAAGAGTAAAAATAACTTCCCCATTTTGTGTGACACATATCCTATACTTTAGAGTTGTTAAAGCGAGTCATTTTAGGAAAAGTCGTGAAGTCTGAGCCACAGGAAGTTCAGTTTAAAATAGTTACTGGAGGTTGAAAGCTCTCCGGGAGTCAAATCGACTCCTTCACGGCTGCATTGTGAAAATAGATGCAAGTTATTTAAATTTCCCTTGATAACTCTGCAGGTGAGGATATCAGCGGCTCAGGCAGCGGGATGTGTCTGAGCGGTCAGTGCGCTCGGAGCAGGCCGGGACTTTATGCCTACGCGCCGGAGACCAAGCCAGTCGGAGGAGCGGCCACGCCTGGCATCGGCGTCCCGCTGCTGCTCCCATTCACCGTCCTGCTGCTCCAGCGATGATGGACCCCCTTCACCGCTTTGTACGAAGGGGCCTGAGGGCTGAACCATGGGAAATGGGGTTGAATGGGAGGAAAAGTGGAACGAAACTTTGCCAAAAAGACATTTTGTTGAATGGATGAACATTTTCCTTGACTTAAAGGAATGAAAATTGACCTTAGTCTTTACTTTGCTGCGCTTCGATGTGTTTTAGTTTGAATGTGAATTAGTGTGAGGTCAGTGGATCTTTTGATGAGGATGTTTGAAAGACGACAGTAACAACGATGAAGAAGATGTCTGTAGCTCCAGTATCCAGCCAGCAGGTGACCTTATCTGTGGTGCATTCACCAAGGATTTTTTTTAAATGTTATTCTTCAAGTTTGTCTGACGTAAGCAAACCATGTACGCTGTAAATGTTTGTGTACATTACCTTAAAAACTGGCGCCATACTGAGCCATGAATGTACAACATAATACTCTACTGGCAATGAAATCCACGTTATCTGTGATGTTGACAAGTGGTTCATTCAGTGGAAAACAATGCAGAGAAGTCATCGCACTCTTGAAATGTCTGAGTTGTTGTGATCGCATCAGTTTACCTTACCTTTACTTCAAAGCCGGAAATGAAATGTCCAGTTTTTAAACGGCTTGTTACCGTTCTAAATAAAGGAGTGGCCTCATCAAAGCCTCCAACAAGCAAGAGCACACACATTTTCTAAAAACTGCTTACCGAGGGCGAGGAATTTCGAAGTTACCACAAAAGAAAACGTGATGATTGAAACAAAAAGAGAAAAGCTGCTGTACTGCTACTGCAGGAGAAGATTTCTTAATGAATGCGTTCAGAGGTAACTCACCTCAAAGTGGCTGACTACATCAAACCAAAGCTTAATCCATCACTGCACACAGGTACACTGAGGTTTTGTAATGATTTGTTGTTATGAAACCAAGGTGTCACAACAAAAAAAAAGGTTTTCCGGTTCTTCAAGCTGCCTGGGTTTGTATATATACCGAATTTTTGCAAGATTCTTTCTACATTTGACTGGTGATATTATTTACCCTGGCATGCCTTCTGTTAAAGTCTACACTACGTTCCTGTTACAGACATGTTAATTTATACACATAGCAGCAGCGTTGAAGACACACATGCTGATGCAGTCTGGGACTCTGTATTAGGCGGGTTTTCAATCATCAGTGTATTTAATCACCTTTCATCCATTAAACTCTGGTTGATTGTAGCAGATGAGAGTGTCACTCGATTATTCTATGGATTGTTCTGGAAGTCCTACTCTTCGTCCATTATAAATATTTGTGTGTGTGTGTGTGTGTTATTACTAGCCTGTTTGTTATCAAACTCTTTGGTTTGGATTTTGAACTAAAGACCAGCTTCTCCTCAGCGGAGGCAAGAGCTTTGTTGCTTTGATCGACATATTTAGTTTTCAGTTAAAAAAATATTACAATTTTGAAGATTTAAAAAATACTATAATTACGTATAGCAATGATCTTGTGATGTAGTTTGGACTGTGTTAAACAGCCACTAACTGTAAATTGTTGCTTGGTCTCCTGTTTTGAATATTTCACAAATTGTAAATATATGTAGGCTCAACGTGGTTTATTTTTATTTATTTTTTACAAATGTGGATTTAGCAACAACTGTATTCTTTATAAAACCAACAGGCCCATGTCAGGTGACCTGTATGCATATTTTTTTGGGATTTTTAAGAACATAATTCTCAAGTATTGAAACTTATGGAGCTAAAATAAATATTTAGGTTTTGTTGTGAAAAACATGGAGCAACTGGCCATGTATTAAACCTACTGCAATTTGTAATTTACTGTATTGTAATTCGCATTAGTAAAATTATCATTCTTCAGTGGACAGGGCACCAAAACTGACTTCAGCCCAGGGGCCCCATCCTTGTAAATCCGGCCCTGTGTGGGCCCTCTTGTTTTTGTTTTAGTTTTTAGTCGTTTACTGTGTCGATATAAAAGATCTGAATTATTTCACACTTGTTGGGAAAGTTATGTTAGCCTGCTGGAATCACTGGGCTGCTAGTTAGAAACAGTTTTACAGCCTGTTTAATGGGAATGCACCAGTAGGAACTGCTGCTATGGCCCATATTTACAGACTGTCAAAGTCTCAAAAAAGAAACATAATTAATGTAACAGAAAAAACAGTGCTGTTATGTGCATGAAGTAAAAGACTTGCAAGACTAAAATAGATGTTCAACGTGCAAAATGAGGCAAGTATCACAGAAATATAACCTCTACTGTCATACAAATATTATATATGTATGTAGATTTCTGAATTTGAAGGAAAGAAAAGGTAAAAACAATTTTGCCTCATTTTAAGCTAATCTTTTCTTCAGTAGAAGAATCTGAGCAGGGTGGATGGAAAAACAAATAGAGGCAAATAAAGGAAAAAAATAAATATTTGTGGTAATCCCAACTGATCTGAAACCTGTTTGAAGGGATCATGAGGGGCTTGAAGGTTAAACGTGTGTTTTACAGCAACATGGAAGGACATTACCGAGAAGCTGTGTTTATCCTTGGCATGAAGAGAATCGATCAGTTCTCATCGTAGCGTTTGGCCGACCCGGCCCTCTCAGCCCAGAGTCTCTCCTTAAAACAGCCAAGCAACTCCTGCAGCACCGTTTAAAAGAGCCACCTTAACGCTGCTGGAGACAGTTTAAATGTTATTGCTCTGCTCATGTGGCAGCCAGCACATCTTTTATTGATTTTTGGGGGAACATTGGAGGCTGTGAGGACATTTTAACTTCCTGCAGCAGCACATTTTAAAGATATGAACTCACTGGCACAGGTTGGTTTTCACTGAAAACACAAGCGAACACGTGAGCTGTGAAAGAATCGGGAGGCAACAAACATCGAAGACATAACGACTGAATTGCTCTACAATAGTCTTCATGCTGCAACTGTCATCACCATAGTAATTGTTGTGTTTGCGCGGTTTTCTTACAGTTTAATTGGCAAACACATTAGGACCACATAGTCCCTTTACACACAGCTTTTAAAAACACAACTCGCCCACAAATGCACATGTAATCTGTGTGGCCACATATAAAACCTTTTAAAGCAATATGGTCAGCCCACAGTGTATTAAAACATCATGCCCAAGTTCATCTGAAGGTCTCATGTTCCTAACTGGATGCATTTGTTTCCATCTGGTGGGAGTTTGAAACGGCACAGGAAGTGGCACCGGCGTTTCCACGCCTGCAGATTAGACCCATGTTCAGGATAAGCTTGTGCCAGGGAGAATAATAGAAATTGTTCCACTTCTAAAAGGTGCTAGGAGGGTATTTAGGGAAATGTCACTCAATGTGGTCCTGGGAGGAAGGAAGTAGACGTAAGTAAAAACACCTGTGCAGGTGTTATTAACCTAATCCCCTTCCTGCTCTGCAGCCCATGGTCACATGTTCGAATACAATCATGGCTTTTTCTCTTAACACTTCAGGTTGTTTCTGTTTTTAAAAATCAAATTAACCTCTGGGTCTCCACTCTTAACTTGCTAAAATTTAAAAATGCAACTAGATATCAGTCTTTTATAAATTAGGGTGCTAAACATACATCTGTTTCTAATAAGGCTTTTTTCCCACCATATACAGGAAGCAGACATTGTTTTGAAAATAAGACAATTTCGCTCAGCAGTTAAAGTAGTGACCAAAACTCCAGGGAGAAAGAAGATTAGTCACCAAACGGAACAGCTGCGAACCTCCGAGGTAAGCACAATGTCAGGAAAAATAATCCCTCATTTTCCTCCAGGGTTTGCTGAGGAGGGACAGTAATATTTACTGAATTATAACCTCAACAAAGCAGAGAGAAATGGATGTTTAAGACATGTTTCCTGTACAAAAACACAATAATATGTTTTTTATTCGGTCACTTTTCTTTGAAAATTTTCAGACATAATTTCTCTACTCACTGCAATTTTCTTTGATTTTTGTAAGAAGTTATTTCTTTGCTGTATATTTTTGTATTTTGAGCATTTTAAGCTGCACTGTTATTAACTGGGAGACAAAGACACAAAACACTGAAATAAACTTCAAATATAACCTGTTGCAGAATCATCTAGACAAAAGTTTGTCACAAGTGTCAAATAAAAATATAGCAATCCAGTTTTGTCCACTGACTACAGTACCTTGCAGAAGTATCACACTCTTTGAACTTTTCCACTTTTTAAAGGCGCATAACTGCAAAATAAAAATCTTATGATGCTCCTTATGCCTAGTTATTTGTTAAATTAATTTTCCTAGTTACCCAGTTTGTGTGCAAACTCTCCCTCGCCCCCTGTGCGTTTTCTCTCCTCTCACACCTGCAAACCGTTTCTAATCAGTCATCTGTCCTTTTAATCAACCTCACCAGTATATTATCAGCCACTCCTTTCTGGTTTATCTTTTTATTTTTCCATCTGTTCTCTGCTGTCTTTTCTCTTGGATTCCTGTTTTTGCTTTGCTCTGGCTCCCTGTGATTTCTTTTGTGGTAAGTTTTGTTAATCTTTTTTTTTTACTAAAACTGCAATTAGTTTTTTCGCGAGTATTTGGTGTTTCTGTAACTCAGTATTGTAACTTCTGACTGTCCTGCCTCAGTTCTGACCAAACCACAGATGTTTTGTAGAGTTTATGACATAAAATGTTGTTTACCAACATTAAATCTGAAGTTATAGTTACGGCTATAGAGGAATGGCTTTGCTCAAAGGCTATTGAGAGATTTGAAGAGCCTTGTCAAAGTCCAGACCAGAGCGAAATGAGAATGTGTGGGAAGATGTGAATATTGCAGTTTGCAGATTTTCTCAAAGCAAATTGAAAAAGCTATTTTACAGATGAATGGGCAAAAAATGTCAGTTTCTAGAATTGCAAAGGCTTATCCCAACACTTTCAGCCATAACTGCAGAGAAAATACAAAATATTGTCCCCAGGGGCTGGAATACAAATGAGCATCATAGCCTTTTTATTTTATAAAATTACAAATTATTCAAAACAAAATGATATAGTCCTATTTATTCATCTTTTCAATTATGTTTTACCTCGTGATCTTTCACATAAACACACTTGTATCATGAAACCAAGACATATTATGGGCACTGTGGATAAAAGACGGTACATTCCTGCAATTTTGAGATTTCAAAAAATTTCTAGAAAAAAAAACAAAGAAATTGCGAAGCTCAAAGTCAAAATTTGCTAGAAAAAAAATCTCAAATCTTGGAAATTTCTGAGACCCAAAAGTCCATTTTATTTTCATTAGTGGATTTTTTAAATATATATTTTTATTTTATAACCTTATGAACTCAGAAAATTCCTGAGATTAATCAAAAAAAAATCTTGAAATTCAGGAGGAATCCAGAAAGGCACTGTGCGCTTTTGGAAAACTTGCGTTTCGCCACTAAGTGTCGCTGTTAAGCCACTTCTGACGAGGTCCCGGGGCGGTGTGGGGAACCTGACCATTGGACACGCAGCTCGGGTCAGGTTGGGAAGAGTGGGTTATTGGTTTTCAAGCCGACATCCTCTCTCCTGATTGGGCAGGAAGGTGTCGGAGAAAACGGGCTGAGCGGAGGGAGAAGACAGATCCAACAGCAGTTTATCTCCTCTCAGCCTCCACTGGCTCTGCTGCTTGTTCCTGTACGCACCGAACTGAGGACTGAGATGTGACTGCTCACCGGAGGAATACAGCGTGTCTCCCTGGGATTTCTCTATTTTATTCTCTGCCGGCCGGATGATGGGAGCGGACAGGCGTGGAGGGATCTTGGCCGTTCCGGCCACTTGGGTTGCGCTGCTTCTCTGTGTGATTACTCTTGTGTGCGCAGTGGAAGGTAGGTGGGCATTTGTTGATGGAGAACTGATGCAGGGTAAAACCTGGAGTTAATTAACGGGCTAATAGATGTTAAAGCTGGGGACTTAGAAGATGCCAACTAAGAAGGTTTAAGGAATTGGTGCAGACTTGGTTTAAGTTCATGTTGGGTTTCCAAATAAATAGTTTTGGGATATTGGTGTAATACTGTTGGACTTTTCTCATTAAGTTTTCAACTATCTAATTGGATTATTGCGTTTTATTGGTTATCACTATATTTTATGTTCAATATTTGCAACAAACTATCATTTCCTCTTTCTACTTTGAACATTCTTCAGTGCATTTGTGTGATTTTGACAGGTCATGTTGCATGCAGTCCTCCTGCATGCGTGATGTGAAAACAGTTTATGATAATGGTGTGTGCTGTTTAGTTTCAAACATCCCCATGTTTCTTCTCTCCTGAGCACACCGTCACAGCTCTGCTATCACACAGTCTGCTGGAGCAGCAAAGTGAATCATAATTATAGCTCACAGGTGCTTGGTGGCCCCCATGCTACTACCTCCCCCACTGCTTCCCCTCTCCAGCATCACCTCTTTCTCCACCTGCTGTTTCCAGAAGCGTCATCTCCCCGCCAGCTCCTTTCCAAACACCACCTTCTGCCTCTTATGTTGCGTGCCCCTCCAACTCTAATCTCCTGTTATTTTCAGAGCATCGCGTTCTGTAGCTCCTGCTGCTTCTGCTTCTCTTGCCGCTGTTGTTTTGTGCTGCTGCTGCTCCCTGCCAAGCAAGGCTTCTGCTGTTTCGTCTCCAACAAACATCTCCTGCTGAAACTTTTTGTTTTACTTTTCTGCCAGTGTTTCATCCTCCTCATTTCTTTCTTTCTTTTTCTTTTCTTTGCATCACTCCACATCTGGTCACCCTTTACGTCCTCAGACAGGGTCAGCTTGTTTCTCCCGTTGTTTCTCTCAGCATTATTCTTTGCCTCAGGCTTTCCAAATGGTATAATACCAAAAAATGTCTCTCCAGTCTGCTTCTCAAGCATGAACTCCTTCTTCCTCCTCCACTCAAAGTGCTGAAGTCTAAATTATCCTCTTGTAGAACCACACTTACTCCTGACCAAGTATTATCAACTGCTCCCTTTTGCTCAAACATCACCGATTTTTCCTCTGGCCTGTTTTAGTTTTTCCCAAATTAATATTTGCTTGTTGCATAGTTTGCTTTCCTCTCCTGTCTTTTCTGCATTCATTCCCTGGCAGCATCCACTCCCATGTTGCCTTCTGCTGCTGCTGATGCTTCTGCTGCTGCTTATGGAAGTGCTAGATTAGTCCACTGCTGTGTTTTAATGGTGCGTGTAACAACGGGCCCTGTGCCTAGTCTCACCTATTATGAGGCATGTAAATGTGTGGAAGGGCAGCTTTATTTTGATTAAACAGAATGCCATTTGGATCCCCCAGTGTGTGTGTTTACTAGAGTTTGTGTATTTGTTGGCGTGGCAAAACAAGAAGGTAGGTGGTTTTAGCCAGAGAGGTGAGACAATTACTGTAGGCACAGTGTGGGTGGTGGGTTGTTTTGTGGTCACAGTGGCCTTTTCATGGTAAGTAGGTGCCTAATGAGCTGAGGTATACACTTATTGGACTCTGTTGGCATAAAAAGCACCCTCTGATGCTCTTTATGTTTTCTCCCTTACATATCTTATGTCTTGCATAGGCAGTTTTATGTGTCTTACTATTTCAAGCCATCTTACAGGTGCATCATATTTCACAAATTCAAATAGTCTTATACTATAGATGCATTTTTGATATGTTAAACTTTTGATAATTATGGCTTTTAACTAAAGATTGACTTAACATAAGTAGCTGCAACTAAGGGCTGTAACGAGTCCTTGAATGACTCGAGTATCTCGATTATTAAAATTCTTAAAGGCAAATTATCTGCCTCAAAGCTTCATTAAGTTTTGCTATTAACTACTGTGTTTAAAAATGGTGGGACTAGGAGAGAAAAGGAAGATGGATTTATAAAATTCAAAAGATGATAGAAGGAGTAATATCAGGACTGAAATTTGGACATAAAGGACTTAATTAAACACTTTTTAAAATGCAAAAGCATAATACTGGTAAATGTGATCACTATATAGGAAACAGTCCGCACTCCAGACCAGTAGGTGGCAGTAACACTACTTAGATTTTTTGCCAACCGTCAATAAGAATCAAGAAGAAGAACCACACCGGCCAGATTATTTGTGTTGCACATCGCTCTCACTCGTACCTTTCATCAACATTCACTTGTTGATGAATGCTAAGTGCTAGCAGCATAACATTCAAGTTTGGTCTGGGGCACCTGGGGGGATTTTATGGTCAGGTGGAAATATCTGGGTTTTTGTCGCTCTTTGAGGGACCAGTAATCTAAAATTACTGATGCGATGCATAGAGTATGACAACATTTCTCAAATGGTGGTGAAGTGCGCGGCAGGTGAATGTAGACATGTGGAGCAGAGGATCACAGAACACAGCAGGCTGTGATGGCTGATATTAGCATTACAGACAAATTTAAAAATATATTTACCACCATCCTGGTCACAACAAATGAGTGGCAGTACATAGCTGGTGATGTGTTTCTGTGTGAGACGAAGGAGCCAAATCTGCTGTTGACATGGACACCAAAGCTATAAGTGGCAGGGCAAAATGAAAGCTCATCTATTAAGTTTATGCAAGATGAATACATAAACTAAAACGGGAGTACAGGTATTTTCTTGGTGTCATAGTGAGCCTGCTGCTTCGTATCTTTTTATAAAGGTGAGCTATTATTGTTGGAGGTTCATTTTCTAAATGACAGAAATGTGATTGTTAGGGATGCACAAATATGAAAATTTGGGCTGATGATAACATCCAGTATTTATACAACTGTTATGGCAGCATTTACATTATATATATAGATATATATATATTTTCTATTCAAGTACTCAATCGTCAGAATAATCGATAGATTACTAAAATAATTGTTTACAACAGCCCCAGTTGCAACCATTTATCTGGATGCATCTGTGTCTGGAACAGATTCAGTCCACTCCTTGTAAATTTCCCCCAAACTCTTGAGCTTTGCGTCACAATCCTCTTAAATCTGTCGTTATCCCTGCTGCTTACCACACCTTTTTCTTCCATGCGATTTTCTAACATTATGTTTACTGCAGCACTCGGTAAATAGCCATTTTGCCTGTGGCATTTCATGGTTTACTGCCCTTGTGAGACAGTATGGCACTTTTTGTTTTGGTATTTCTACTTTTCTAAGAAGGAACATTTTTGCTTTTAAGAAGTTATAAGCCAGAACCATCAGAAATACTAGAGATACATCTTTGAAATATATCGACGCTTACTTATCAGTAATTTGATTTGCTAAATATATTTATATTAATCTTGACAAATGGTGTTAAAAATGACAATTTTACAGAATTAAAAAGCTGTTATATTTGTTTCTGGTAACCAAATCAAAAGTCTTTTGGTTTAAAATGTAAACTGTAAAGAGGAAAGGTATAAATGAATACACAAAGCAACTTTATGGCTAATAAATTCTTTAATGAGTTTTATAACTCAATTAAAATTAGGCTATTGCTTAATTATGCATGGGCTGCAGCCAACATATTCACCGTTTTCAGGAAAAGTAATGAATTGTGTGTTGCAATTATTTGAGCCAAGGGAAAGTCTTTATTATTTTAACTAATATTTCTGGAAAGAATTATGGAGAATAGTGGGTAGTTGGTGTAATCTCCTCTACGTCTTAGTTGACCAATGATATTATTGTCATCTGCTTTCAGTCTTGGATTCTTACTTGGAGGGAAAAATGAGAATTTCAAAACTTTTTCCAGCTTTTATTTCATCTTCTGTCTGATCTGTTTGAGAAATACATTAAATATAAAATCTGGCTGCCTATGTTTTGTTTCTCATTTAGATTTTTGTTTAAGATCTCTCCATATCAACTAAATTTTTGTTGATTTGGATGCATGCTTGGACTCAGTTTGGTGATGAAAAACAAAGTCTCTCTTAATCTCCATCTTGCCAGCTGATACCTAAATGTTTTGGGTCAAAGCTATGTTGTTTTTTTCAAACCATTTATAAAAAACATCTGTTCCATCTGAGAAAATTAACCCCAGGGCTGCTACCCACATGTTTCACTCTGAGCATGGCGTTCTTTTGGTGATGTGGAGAAGTAAAATCCTCTTTGAACTGCATCCCAAACGTTAAATTTTGGTTTATTGAAAAGAAAGGCTTCTGGTCCGTGCATATGGAGCGTAGAGGAGATTGTTGTCACATGTAGAATACAAGCAGAACCTGAGATAATCTTGCCGTTCCTTTTGCAGAAGCCCTCATCAGTTTCTGTCTTGTCCTTACAGCAATTTTGCTTCAGATTCCTTCTTCTAGGTAACGTTAGTTTGCCTCACATATGTTCTCCAATTACAGACGGCAGCGTTCACGGTACCATGGTGTATCTATTTAATGAGGTGGATTTCTTTTTTGTACCACTCTTCTGTTTGACACATTCAGACAAAGATCTTTTGTAAACTCTCTCCAAACTATGGAGGCAAATGAGGGAAAGTAAGGAAAATCCAGTGACGACATTTAAATGTAACTTTGGGTTAATTAAATTGACTGCAGCTGATGTCAGGTGTGTATCTAGGAAGGACCAATGGTGTAATCGTTCTGTAAGGTGTTTCAGCTTTTTTTCAGTTTTTTCTTGTTACAAAAATATGGAAGAAGCTACTACAGGACTTATTGCATTACAAAATCTATAAATAAAAATAATGAGCTAATCTAAATATGGATTGTGACTGAAAGAACAGAGATCATCCTCTGGAGGGAGGCTGGACTCAACCTCAGCAATAGGCTGAGGAGCCCTGTAATCTGTGGACGAGGTCAAAGTTCGGCTCTGCTTTGAGTTGGTTCAGGTATCTGATCAGAATGCACACCTTTGGAGACGATAGATGGAGTTTATCTAAATTGACTTTAACTATCTTTAATGTTCTCACCTGA